ATACTTGGTCTTCGACCTCATAATTATCAATACAACTTCTGCCTTTAGCATCCGCATATTCTTTTTGTTTGTCTTGGCTATCAGTCATTGCGTCTTGCACGTGTCGTAATACATTTAGTCGCGTTGCGAGAAGCGTATTCACCTGTTTCTTAACAGTATTAGGGCTGAAATCAGCAAGTAGATCGGCAACCTCTCCCCCACCAAGCCCTAAACCACTCGGTGGTAGCGTTAACGGAACGCGTGGGTGTGTGAGGCCATTCACATAGAACGGAGTGTAGACGATAGAGGCGTCCACGGAGTTATTGAGTGCACACTTAACAACAGGCAGCATAGAGCTCCAACGCTTAGGCGTTTCAGCACAAAAGCTGCGGAGGATATCTTCAAAAACGCGATTCAGAGACAATTAATAACGACAAGCCATGTTGGCGAAACACTCGATCGATAAACAGCTCCGCTGTACTTTCACCATCGATCAAGTCTGGCACAGCAGTTACGTAATCCATTTTGCTTAAACGGTCAACAAAGATTACAATACCTGTATCGCCATGCGAATCTTTCGGTAGGCCAAACACAAATTCATACTAAAGGACTCTCAACACTCAGTGGTAATAGGCAAACTAGCCAAAGGCGCCGCTGAATGGGGCGAAGGTTTGACCTGTTGACACGTTTCACACGTATGCACATATGTGCTCACCCAGTTATACAATTTGGCCATCAATACCTTTGGCATACTGCCCCATAGGTCTTTTCACGACCCAAATGACCCCCGATGACGGTGTCATGTACCTAATAGAAAATAGGATACTTCATGTCCTCGTCATGAGGAACCACAATGCGCGGAGAATCCATCGCATCCGTACAATAGTACAACCGCCCCTGATCGATGGAATTTAGATGAAGGCTCGCACGTAATCGTGCCGACAATGTTATGTCCAAGTCTTTAAGCTCATCACTTCCAAAAGCATGTAGCATAGCTACAAAATGATCGTCTTTAGCGTACGAAGTACGAATGATATCGATGACGACAATTTCGTAACATGAGCAAGCTCATAGTCAGGTCTGCGTCATAATGCATCAGCCAAAGCGTTTTGCTTGCGAGGCTTATTATTCACCTCAAAGTTATATTTATCAAAGAATGAAAGCCATCGGGCCATTATCTGCGAGATATGAAGCGACTGAGTCGCAGTGCGTAAAGACGCACGATCGGTATAGATCACAAATGGCTTCGATCCCATCAGTTGAGCTCTAAATTTGACTAGAGCATACTTCATTGCAATTAGCTCTTTGTCATGAACTGAATAGTTCTTCTGGGCAGCTTACAGCTGGCGAGATTTAAAAGCGATCACACGCTCACGGCCTTCATGATCTGTTTGTAACATGGAACTGCCAATGGAAAAATCCGACGCGTCACATACGATGCTAAACGGAAGGTAGAACAGACGGTGGGTCATAGCACACCACATCTTGAAATTTTGGTTTGACTAACAAAGTAGTAGGGATCCGAAGATTCTTTAACTATAGATGATCCACTACGTGCACTAAATACCGCTTTCAAATCTTTGAAGACTGTCTCATCTACAATCGATGATAAATTCATTTTACGATCAGGTCGAACGACCACCATATCGGACAAATTCTCAGCCTTCAAGGCTTGATGGAAATCATTCACAGAAATTTTTATAGCTTTAAAAGAGCATTCAACGAAGGGATGACTTCAAGATCAACCTTATCATGTCACTCCGTTGATCAGGTTGTACATCTGTTCACTGATGTCACCACGTGATAAAACATACGCCTTGCACCTCGCAGCCGCCATTTTGAGACGCTGTCGTCTCATTGACGAGACCGTAACTTTCAAGTACTCAAGACATCATCACCCCCAAGGTCGATAAATTTTTCGACTTTAACTTGCTCTATACTAGAGCTGATGTCATTACCGGCGTCCAGTGAGTCGTTGTCACAGGCGAAATCACTGACAAGGTCTTCGACCTTCACTTGCTCTATACGAGAGCCGATGTCATTGCAGAAATTCAGTGACTTGATATTACTATCAGTACCACTCAACGGAGTACGTGCCGTTCCACTAGGTGTCATTAAGCTCTGCTCGACACCATTATTATTGACATTGAAGTTTACATCAACTCAGACACCCCAGTGTACAGCACACTAACTGAGTCAATCAATGGCTCGCGCCAATAGCACTTCTGTTTCCTAGCGAAAATGTGTTCATGACTCTCCAAAGTTTCGCTAGGAACATTGCGCGTTGCGCCTAAATTTTAGATCTCCAAGCGAGTTATAGATCGGGGCTTTCCATCCAGGCCATACCGAGAAAGAAATCATATCTCGAGTCCAAATATAGGATAAGACAGCGTTCAGCGCTATTGAAGTCTAAGAACTTCACACCGAGGTCCAACAAAAATTTAGGAGCGGTGACAAGGACACCAATAGGGAGACGAGAGATTATACTTTAACCCTCTTGCGCTTCTAGCGCCTCAGCCTACAGCTGACTTCCTTTAAGGAACGATGTCATACATTATTACTAAGGGTTACCAACGCAACCAACAAGCCTGGCTTGTATCCATGCTCCATGGAAGCTTCCACGGATCCACCTGGGGCTAAGCTCTGTTTACCTATACCTCCTAGAGTTTCATCAAAAAACTTAGTTCTTTCCCAGTAGGGCGCCCCGCGCCTATTGGGAGTTGGCTTTTTCCTCTGTCGTGCTCGCCTTTTGGCTAGGAGCAGGGTTTCGGCTCTGCCGATTCTGACGTTGCTTTCGCAACGGACAGCTAGATCAGAGGTGACTATTGCTTCCGCACATGTAACACATACGGATGTTACCTTGCTGCTCTGCAGCTTGAAGCTCAGCTTTTTCAGCATGGCTGAGGTCTATGGGTTCCGCCCTGTTAGAGGCATTTGATTGATACCATGGCAGACCAAAGTGAGTGGATTTGAAATTGAGCTCAGCGTTGAACGCTATTCTCACTGCCTTTTCGAAAGTCGAAGGCTGGACACAAAAAACTTCTGTCCTAACGACTCCTGTACGAAGTCTTTCCATAAAAATGGTTACTCGGACTTCTTCTGCCATAGGGTCCTGCTGCATAGCAGCAATGAGAGTTCTCCACTCTTGGACATAGTCCGATAATTCTACTCTACCCTGTCGGGTAGCTAAACAGCGTGAGACCACACGTTAAGACTGATTAGGCGGTGCAAACACGTAAATTCATTGCTTTGTAAGCATTTCCCAGGTAACGTGGGAAATGCAGCGCTTACAGAGACATCGCTCGTTAAAGCCCACTCTCTAGCTCTTCCACCGAGCTAATAAATGGTCAGTCCAACTCGTTGCTTCTCTGACACGAGCATGGCGGCATCCATTGCCATTTCAACCTCTCAATCCAGAGGAGAAGATTTTCTCCCTCTTCCCCCTCAAAGGTCGTTTAAAACGAGTGGACAAGACTTTGACTTTGCATCGGGCACAGGCACCGGGTTTTATTGCGTTGGCGCAGCTAACGCTGCCTGGTCGTATGCCTGCCCGAGCAGCGATGCCTCATAACGCATGAAATCCTCAAGGTGAGCATTGAGGACCTCCGGGCCCAGGGCGAAAAAGGCTCTGGGCCCAACAAACGCAGATAATTTATCTAGCGCGAGTCGTTGCGCCTCAGAGAGGTGGTTTTGACTCTCCATCCTCACAGAGGGTCAGTCTTATAAACTCATGTGTAGGGTAGGCCAACAAGTGCTACCAAGTGTAACGAGGCCACACAGCTCATAAGTCAGAGGAAGACTTCATAGGCTGAAAGCCTCTTAGTTCTATAGCATTAATTAAGAGTTGACGGCTTACTGTCACTTAGTTCTAAGGAACTAATTTAACGACTAAGCGATCACCCTGTTCTAAGGAGCTAGGAGGGATTTCTAGTCTACAAAAAACAGCTCTAAGTTTAGAAAATTAGCGCACAGAGTGCAAGAACAAGCTAAAAGCTTAATGGTTCGAAGAACTAACGCAGCAATGCACAAGAGAACAAGTCTTATCGAGACTTGGGATCATTAACTCGAAATGAGAACTGATTTTATAAATGAATTAAGATTTTATGAATAAACCTACTCTAAGTACCCTACACTAGTCATTACTACTATTATAGTGATTATAGTATGCCATCGTCTATGGAATCATCCAAATATCAGTGTATGTTGTACTGAGTACTACTGTATCAGTTATAAAGCCGATACCGATAGTATACGGTATTACTGATACCTTACAGTATCACTCATATATATATGATACCTTTTTTTATAAGGATCAGTATTGAGAATACAAATTATATGCAATATAGAAACTTCAACCGTGATGATATGATGGTACAACCGCCGTGTAACCTCGTTACAGTCCAGCTCAGCGTACGCTGTGTATCTTTTTATCTCATGGCAATAAAGCCACCGAAACTCACGTTCATTCTCGTGCGAAGGCACCAAATTCTTGTGTCTGCTTCACGCATATAATGGATACCGGCTTCGTGTATACACTAGATAGGAGTGGGTGCTAAGCAACTACCTTTACGCATATGGTCATGGTTATTCTGGATGTCAATGGCTCATATCGTTCGCACTGGAACTGACGATTTACAATTTCATCCGCTTTGCATCGACGCCACTCCACCCACGTGCACACCTTTGAGCGTCTTCTGCTGTCAGTACATCTGGTAGGCGTGCCACTATTATTACTGCTGGCGACTACGTGGCGCAGTCATCTGCTTGAGAGATTCAAACCTAGTTGATCGGACTTTGAGTCATGACTGTGGTCACCAAAAACTTGTGGATGTACTTTAGATGAACCTTTTTTCGAGCAGAATGATCGCTGAGATGAATGCAGACGTACTTCTTGCAAATGCGTTCAGTTTCGTTATTGTTTGTGGCCTCAACTCAAAGGATTCAAGATGCAAGACATTGGATAACGGTATCAGTTGTATAATTGGTTCTTACTACCCCGTACGAGTACTTTATCTTTCCACTTACAAAAGACACTCAAACCACTGGACCGGTTCCATGGCGTTCGAGAAGTAGGCGTTCCCGGTAAGGAATGCTGTATCGGCGTGGTTGCACGTGGTCACATAAAATGCTGAAGTAGGTTTGTCATCAAACTTCGTTGCTGGAAAGCCACCTCGACAACTTTCGAATGTCACGAAACCATCATGCTCACTCGTACCATGATTCACGTAGGTGGCTAACGCCATGTACTGTGACTGGTACTTCGAAGCTATACCCAGATAGCCATTGCTGCACATAGCACCCTGTACATTATCACGGTAGGCTTTCTGGGCTTTCGTGTACTCCTCGTTAAGCGCAATGGTGCTGTATATGCCGCCCATATACGCGAGAGACTTGATTCCAGTGTTAACGGGGCACTGGCCCACAAGCAAAAAAACTTTACGGAAAGGCCTCCAACCGTCGTGCGTGCAAACATCCTGCGCAGCGTTTGATAACAGCGTGCCCAGCATAGGTGCACTCATGCTGACCCACGACGTGCTTATCGTTTCAATGCTGCACTTCATGTTGGCAACTGCACCTGCCAGGATCAAGGCACCCATGGAATGGGTCACGAGAATTGTGTCCTTGATGATCTTCTCCTTTACATCACTTGTCGTACTCATTGACAGAGCGTGCTTGCAGACTGTTTCCTGCAGAGTTCCATCTGTCCAACCGTGGCTGTTCGTATCGAGCGAAACGTACTTGATCGACGAACAGCATGGCGCGTGGCTAGTCATGTCACCAAAATACTTGGACGAGGTTTGCAGCTCCTTCTCTTCGTTACCATTCAGTTCTCCATGGATAAAAAGACACGGACGGGATGTGGACTTGCATTGACACGACGAAGACATACTGAAGATGTTTGCTTCTTTTAGTCTACGCTGTTCATGGGTTTGTCGTTCCAAATTGGTCGCAGACGTCGTGACAGCCAACAAGACAAGCACGACCGAAGATATTGGGAACCACATTGGACACAACTGTGCAAGATGAAGAATGATTGACGCTGCTAGAGACGCGAAGTGGCTGAAAAAAACAACGCAGTCGAACCCAGACAATAGCTTTCCTCGTGCAAACGACAACACCTCAACGAATCATGCGGTTTTTATAGCAACAGGATCAGCTCTTTGCAGACATATGATGAGTATGAATGCCGTATATGCAACGACAGCTGGATAACGAACAACAGCCGTTTTGTAAGTGGGTGCTTGGTTGTCAATCATGTACATTGTCATTCTGTCTCTTGTACAACTTTACCTTGTCCTGCTGTATAGCTATATAAATACATGAATTAAATTTTACTGTCAACAGGAGATGTATACTAAATAATGCCGAAAAACAATATATAGTCAAGAAGGTAAAAATAATATACCACCTAATCAAAATATAAAATATATACCTCACGATATGGTAATAAAGATATATACATACTATACTACAGATATAACTTATTATTTTGTAGCCTTAGTCCTTACATTATATAAGGACCAGGGTTGAAATAGTAGTATACACTGTGTTGTTCCGTTTGTGGTCCATCTTTACAGTATTTTTTACTTTATCATCTTGTGGTATTTTTGGCATTAGTTACAAATTCCGAAAGATTGTACTCGAAGAAGTGCGGTATGAAAATCGTTTGTCCTTTTTAGATACTTTTGTGATTGCGCCGCTTACTACTTCCTGATGCATTGATGTAATATTCCTTATGACAATTGTTATCATGATAGCCTTTGCTATCGTGAAGTGCCCTACAGAAGAAACTTCTACTAGTAACCAATAAACATAGAAAGTAACTACAGGTGACCTGGACTAGACACCCGTCCTGGCTCGTGAAAGCTGGAAGAAGTCGTGCCAGTTGTAGGTACCTGTGCGTAACCCCTCTGACCTCTCTGCCCTTCCACGTTGCCAAAAAGAGATCGGAAAAAGTCCAAGAAGATGCTGAATGGACAACAAACCATCTGTTTGACCCTTTGCAGCCACTCAACGCTAAGCCAAGTGAGGTAATTTTCTCTTGCTGGAATCTGCATTGCTCCCTTGGGAGTTCCAAAGAGCTGGACGATTGATCCAGGCCAGACGTCACCTTTTTTTAGCAGCTTTCCCTGATGGATGAGTCTTGCACGTTCTCTAAATGAATATCAAAGAGTCACGTTGGACAAGTATTTGAATTGTAAGAAGGTACTCGAGACCACGTACAAATTGAACATATTGGCCAAGACTTTGGCAGGATCATCCACTGTCCAGATGGACACATTTAAGGTGTAAACAACATTACAGAAACGGACAAAAGCCGGTTTGGGGGTATCTTCCCCCTGCAATTGCGTCACCTTTTTGACTTGAACGTGACAACCAGGACAACGGTTTTTGTGAAGTACCAAGTATCGACACAAACACAAGAGACAAAATTCATGCGAACAGTCGGTGAGGCAACGTGCACTGGGGTCTAAAGGTAGAGGCTGGTCACAAACAAGACAGAGAAACGATTCGTCCGCCATGATGATAGTAGCGCTGTCCGCTATGCAACTCTTAAGAAACTATACCCTCTTACAATTTGTAGAATTATCAATTCTAATACTACTACATTCTGCTACGGTCCAAATTCTTGAGCGACACAGACTTATTTTTACAATACCAAAATTTGAACCTATTTAGTAAAAAGTATACGCTTTCGACTTATTGTAAGCAACTGTGACGACAGTATACGCGGTTGCAAAATGTGTCCTCACATGCTACATAAAGTTATAACTATGGTGATTGCTGTTGAAGCACTTGAAAGCACTGGATACAGTCGTACAGATGTTGATGCTACTACAAATTACTGACACAAGCTCAAAGCGACGTGTCTTTGTTTTTCTAGCTACACTAGCAGCCTATTCCGAGCCCCCCCAAACTTTTCAAAGTAGAACTGCTGTAACTGCTAGTGACATCCATTTGATTCGTCATTCCTGCCAATTGCTCTCTTGAAACGCATTGACGTTTTAAGACGCATCTGGTCGATCGACCGCATCCTGTCTACTGCAATTTCAGAAGATTCCAAATCAAATGGATTTTTTTTCGAAATCGTACCTCTCATGCTCGTTCCATGCACGAGACTCTTTTTTTTTAAATCTCCCACATGGATATAGGTGGCCTAAAACCTGCTTTCTACGATGCTGCCAATCGTTCAAAGATTGCTCGAAACAGCCATGAGGTGGTGCATCTATTCAACTTCCTGTAAACCATATGCATTAAGAGATAAAGAAATGCTTCCATTCCATTCTAGTATGAGTGTTTTCTCTAGGTAAATTCTACCTAATTCAGACATTTTTACATTTCTTTGATATTTTATTCCTTCAGTTTGTATCACCAAGTCACTACTTATGCCTAACCTTGTAGGATCGCAAATGACCAAGCCAAAGAGGTTGGTTTCTCCTAGCTCGCTCGATCCATACATCACCGTCAATAAACGTCACGATGGGGTGACCAAAATAGTAAGCACTTGACTCTCAATCAAGTCAAGGTTTACATGTCACGCGTTACACATACGGGCCATCACTTTCGATGACGTAGTCGCGTTGTAGGTCCGACATCGCAGCAGGTTCAGAGACAACTTTGTTCACACCTTTTTGAGGTGACATGTCCTTTGAAAAAATGGAAATACCGTTATGAACCGAAACCAGATTCTTGCTTTATTTGACCCAAGTGTATAAGGTCAGACCGATATAGTGTACGACCAGACCAAAACCTGGTCGCCAGAAAGGATGGATGGTCACAGCAGCCACTTGACTGCATCAGAAATTGTCCTGTATGCCGTCAAACAGTCAGTCCAAATCTGTCCGGTTCGATCATCAAATTAGTAATTTCCGTTCGATATATTAACTATTAGAAGTATCGACGACATCACACCTTTTTCTCCTTCTCTTCACGTCCGTACTTCCCCTATATTATTCATTCGTACAGGTTATTATATATATCAATACTGCGACATGACGCGCAACATAGTGCTTGAATTCCGCCTGTTTCTTTCCAAAGCTCAGTCCGACTCTCGTTCGATAAGAGCGACCTATTTTCCAAGACAGTACCGTATCGACCTCCAACTTATACAATGCCTGCCACCGTCACGGAAAAGTCCCGTGACGACGATGATGACGTGTGCTTTAGTGTGACACTGGACACCGTCGTTACGGACCCACATCTTCATGCATTGTACCTTGAATACCTTTCTACGTCTGACAAGAAGGGATTTGCTCAATTACTTTTTCTCGTAAGTGTCGAAGAATTTAAAAAAGTGTTTGCATCAACAGATAATAAACATTCGGGTGCGTCGTATGACGAGAATGATGATGATCCACAAGCTGAACGTCGTCAATATGCACGTAAAATCATTGCTAAATTTCTCAGTCCTGATGCATTTATGGACATTACATCCGAGAATCTTTGTATTTTGAACAAATCAGTTGCAAGCTTTGGAAAATTGTTACGACACGATCTCATGTTATATGCTGGTCTAGCAGCCAAGACGGATTTGTTTCAAGATGCTGAAGTAGCTGTGAAAAAGGCTCTTCAGCCGAGTTTTCGACGATTTGCCATGACGTCGGAATTTAGAGCACTTGTAACGAGTTCTCGACTTACTTACGACACGGTGGACGACTCGGTGACGAGTTTGGAGGAAATCGACATGATGCAGCAACAAGTGGAAGAAGAAAAGTCACCGGGTGTTTTGACGGATGCAAGTCTGATGTCGCCGGTTTCGTCAGTAATTAACACACCTACACGACACTCTCGTGTTCGAAGACAACGTACAGCTACGACATTTTTGACATTGGAACGTGTTCTTGGTAATAGGAGATTGTGTAGTGTTTTCTGGGTCTTTCTATTCAAGGAACGGACGCATCAGCAATTGAGTCTGTGGATGGATTTACGATATCAATTGCTGCCTATTCTGGAAGACTTTATCCACGCGGCTAAGACCGATACAGAAGATGAAGACAGGAAGCAACAGGAAAACGATCGACAGAACGATACTGATGCAGAAAAAGCTGGAGTACTCATTGAACAGGTTTTGGCAGGAGGCAGTCGCATTGCAGCTAAGTACCTGACTGAAAATGCCAGTACGCGCGTCACATTTGTCGGTGAGTTGGAGCAGGCTCTACTACGTGATTACGAGTTGCGTTTAGAATGTTGTCAAGAAGCTGGCAGCTTTTCGCTGGCTGACGCGGAAGTCCTGCACCGAACAGTGGAGCGAATCCAAGCCGTTATTGAAGCAGACCTTAAAGTCAATCACTTTGTGCGCTTCATGGGCAGTGAATCATTCAAGTCATTGGTAGCATCTTACCAGAGTCGCTTGCTCAGTCCGTCCGGATCAGTTGATGTTGACACATCTGTGGTGTGCGATGGCTCGAGCACAGCTTCCGACAGCAGCATGACGACGCTGCAAGAGTTGTTTCAGTGCATGAATGTTCCGTCGCATCAACCACAGCGAGTACGGAGTAAAGCTTTTACGTTGAAAGACCTCTTCCAAGGCCAACTTCGTGGCGAATCACAGAGCAAGTCACTTATTAGCTCTGTGATGAGCTTCCGGCTAGATGTGAATGACCGGACCCACCCAGAGATTATCAAGGAGGTGCTGCACACGCTTGCGGATCCCAACAACCATAGCGAGCGCAGCAGTGATCTACACCACTACCACGCAATTCCGGACCATGTAGAAGCTTTCTTTCAACCATCGGGGGCAGACGTCGTGCGTTCTACAACTCGGCCAGAGCCCTCACTTTTTCACATGACGATTGGAAATGCTGATAAGGCGTTTTATGGTGCCTGTCTTACACGATACGTTCCTTTGAACGACATGAGCAAGCTAGGACCGTTGGAGCAAGTGTTGCAGGAGACTGAGGGCCTTGAAGTATACGTCCCTGCGGGAATTTGCATCATCAGCCGGTATCCAATTCTTGACACGCTCAAGCAGCGTTTGGACTCGCTGCACACTGCAATGCAGGACAACGAGGCATATCTCTCCAACGTGAACTGGCTGCCTTCTGCAGTACAGATGGCTAATTTGCTTTCCCCGTTCGACTTTGCTGCTGCAACAACCATCCTTGACGACGCGAGATCCATCTCGGCACTTGATAGCCACGTTGATTTCAGCATGGAGGAGCTGTTCAGCTGCTTATCGATCGATCATGTGGTTGCTTTGGTCACGTGCATGCTTCTCGAGCGGCAAATCGTGCTTGTGAGCTCGCATTATTCAGTGCTTACATCGGTAGGCGAGACATTGAAGAGCTTGATTGCCCCGCTACAGTGGTGTCATGTGTTTGCACCCATTCTTCCAAAGAGTATGCTTGAATGCTTACAGTGTCCTACACCGTATTTGTTTGGTGTACATGCAAGTTACTGTGAGGAGTTGCGCGAGATGCTTGACAGAGAAGGCTGCGGCGACGGTATTGTTGTGGTGGATCTGGACGCAGACACAATCAGCTCTCAGGTGCGACCACAGCTTCCCGAGTCTGTTCGTGGTCCTCTTACCTCGCGACTTCTCCAGTTACTCAAGCCCAAAGTTTACTTTAGTGACTTCGTGCCCATGCTTAGCAGCAAGATCGATGCTTCGATCGCGCGATGTTTTCCACAAGGCCATGTGCGCATGTGCTTTCGAGAGGCAGTGGCAGTTTTGTTACGCAAAGTAGAAGAGTTCCGATTTGTGCTGTCGGACGATTTTGACTACGTTGTGGTATTTGATCGGATCGCATTTTTGCGGTCCCTTCCACCGTGTGAGCGATCGTTGTACCGCAGCTTCTTGGAGACACAGGTCTTTTCGCATGAGATTGCATCGGTTGATATTTAAGTGCAGCGGGAAGTTGTTTAGAAGCACTGCCAATGAAAAAAAACATTAGTCCGTTGTCTTTGTTGATATCCTACAGTAAAAATGTAAAGCTTGCATACCCACAAAATCTATCTTACATGATCCGACAGGGTCCATTATTAGCACGGTCATGCGTTGAGTTCTGGGAACGTAAGACAGCAACAGAAGGAGGGCTTCCGCTACTTCGAAATTCAAAGTTGCGACTGAGATATCCACGCAAATGTCTGTGCTCTTTCTTGAGTAACGTGATCGCATCATTCAGTGATTCCTTCAATGAGAGCACGGCGGTCGCATCAACAAGAGCCATTTGCTGCTGATGTGTGCCAGCTTCAGATTGACGCTGCTGTAGTTTCTCACAGGCAGTTTGAACGCGGAATGCCGCCTTCGAAACACGCATTGCAGCAACATACGCTGAAGAGCCCTTTAGTGAATGAGATTCTCGCCGAGTAACCGCAATATCGTCTTGGTCATAAGCTGCTACAATACGCGACATGATCGTATCACAGCTCACGGTGAACTTCTCTAGCAGACTCAAAAAGAGCTCTTCATGACCGCCACATTGCTCCACCCCCAGCGAATAGTCGACTGGGTCACCCTCAGGAATGACAATGTTGGTCGGATCTATCGTCACACGCGCCGTGACGCTCTCTGTGGTTCCACTTATTGCGTGGTCGACGCTAGGTGGGCCTCTACTGCCACTTCTAGCGGCTGGACTACTGATATTCAGACGCTCTAGCATAGCTGCAATCGGATCTCCTGACGTGAGCTCGTTTAAGCTCTTGTCGGAGTCAAACCGCTGCAAGCTCGAGGGAGCATTTCCGTTTCGACCTCCTTCACCCACCGCTCTACTACGAGAGCTCTTGCCATCCGAAGCACCACTTGGCGATAAAGGCTGCTGAGAAGACGCAGATGGTGACGCCTGTTCCTTTTTGCTTCCTATGAAAGGTGGGTGACTCCATAGTGTTGGATTGCTATGAGAGGACAAATGGTCCAAAATTTCCTCGTCATCCAGTGGTATATCCTTCATGTTCGGCAAGGTCGCGGACGTCTTGTTAATTTGCTTCCAATCCGGAATATCAACGATAGCCCCGCCAGTATCACGCTGAAGACCAATAAGACCACTAGAACGTGTACTGTTTCCAATCGACGAGCCCAAGCTAAAAATTGACGTCGTAGGCACCGCAGTGCGCACGGTAGGACCAACCTGACGTCTTATAGCCATTGGATCATCTAGCTCCAAATTCGAGATCGCGCGCGCTAGATCAAGTTGTTGCATATGACGAGAAGCAGGTGCCAGTCTAGAATTTGAATTCGGTGGTGCGTTGAAGAGGTCGGTATCTTCTCCATCGCTATCAAACGACTGGCGAGGGGTCGGTGACGTCGTCGGGTATGACGCCAGAGCGACGTCCAGCTCGTCTCCTCCGCGGTCTCTCAATGCCGCTGGTGAAGAGACTGATCCTGATACAGCATTAGTTGCACTTGCAGATTCAGAACAAGCGCGAGTGCGATCATTCGGGTCGGCAACCGAAGTAATGGAAGATTGAGGTTTAAGGTAGCGAACACGCATCCATTGCCGGATTGCTTTCAGCAAACTGTTCTTCGAGATAGGTTTTACCATAAACTCGTCCATACCGGCGGTCAAACATTTCTGCCGGTCTCCACTCATGGCGTAGGCAGTCAGTCCGAGGATAGGAATGCGCGGTAGGTCATGTTCTTGTTCAAACTGACGGATCGTTTTCGTAGCGGTGTAGCCATCCATTACTGGCATCTCACAGTCCATAAAGATCAAGTCAAACTTGGCATGGTTCCATTTGTAAGCTTTCACCGCATCCCGGCCGTTCACTTCCCACTGTAGTAAATGATCCGCTTCTCGGAGGAAACACTTTACTACCTCCCAATTGAACTCATTATCTTCCGCAACCAATATTCTTGCCTGCCTCGGAATGATAGCCTTCGCATTGTTTGCAGCACTCCCAGCAGCTGCGCTATCACTCGAGTTCACATTTGGTGTGTCCATATTGGGAGATACATCGCCAGATGCATCCGTTAGCAAATCATTCGCTGCGTAGAACAACCCCTTAGCATCGGTATCATCGAGCAAGCGAACCACCACGGTAAAATAGAAGTTGCTGCCAACGTCAAGCTCACTATCAACGCCGATTTGGCCGTCCATCAGCTCCGCCAGCTGCTTGCAGATAGCAAGACCTAATCCAGATCCCGTAGGGTTGTTCTGACGTGTACGTTCCAGTTTCGTAAACAGTGAAAAAAGACGCATCTTTTCCTCTGCATCCATGCCAATTCCTGTATCAATGACTTGGAAAAGAAGCTTTTTAAACGCTTTAGGAAGCTCAGGAGTGTATACAACACTGCACGTGACGGTAATCGAGCCTTCATTCGTGAACTTGATCGCATTTGATAGCAGATTCAACAAGACTTGACGCAGACGCACAACGTCACCAATAGCAACTTTAGGTACATTGTCGTCATACTTTAGATCAAGTTTAAGCCCGCGTTCTCGAGCCTTAAACTTAAAAATCTCGATTGAATAGTCCAGAAGTTCGTGCATCTGGAATGGTGCAGCAGAGATTTCCAAATGCCCTGCCTCAATTTTTGACAAGTCCAAGATATCGTTGATCAGGTTCAAAAGAAGCGATCCCGACACATATGCCATGTGTACATACCGCTCAGGTGCTTTGTCCAATGATTGTTCTTTCAAAAGCTCTAGCATTCCCAATACACCATTCAACGGTGTTCGCAGCTCGTGACTGAAAGAAGCCAAAAAGTTCACCTTAGCTGCCTCCATATGCTTCCTCGCCGTGTAATCTTGTCCAACACCTATCACACCACGAATATTTCCATGCATGTCTTTTTTGCTTGACGCATTCACAAGAAGCAGCAGAAACACGCCACGCTTCGTCGTCATCGGAAGTTCCATCTCACCGACATCAATACCGATCAGCGCTTGATTTAGCAGTTGGCGAACTTGTTGTCGACTTTCCGGGGTAATAAATGTGTGAACTAGCGAAAGCCCCAGTACGCTTGATTTGTGGTAGCCTGTAATCTCTTCGATCTTCTGGTTCCACTCGTTAATGCAACCATTTGTATCAATACCAAAGATCGGAGCGTTTGCAGTGTCAATCAGTCGAAAGTACTCGTGCTCTTGGGCGATGCGATCCGTGATATCTTGACCGATACCGACAACGCCAACAATGCTGCCATTAGAATCATACCTTGGTGTTGCGTTTAGTAGAATCTCAATTCGTGTGCCTGGACGCGTAATTAACGGAAACTCGAAGTTCGCCGTTTCTAGACCTCTCAGTGCCTGCGATAACACCTCAGCAACAATAGGTCTGAACTCGGGAGAAATAAACGTTTCTACAAGATTCTCACCCATAACTTCCTCGATTGCGTAATTCGTAATTTGTGCTGCTTTGCGATTCCAAATATTGACACACATGTTGGCATCCACACCAAAGATTGGGGCATTGGCCGTATCGATCAAACGACTGTACTCCTGCTCTTGAGCGATGCGCTCTGTGATGTCCTGGCCAATACCAACCATACCCTTCACTTCGCCGTGCTCATTGTAGCGCGGAGTAGCATTCAGTAAAATCTCCACACGACGACCGGCCTTCGTGATCAATGGGAACTCAAAATTCGCCGTCTCCACACCTTCGAACGCCTTTTCAAGCACGCTCCTCACAGGCACCTTGTATTCATTCGATATAAATTCGGCAACTAGGTCTTTGCCCAAAACATCTTCGTTTGTATACTGCATGATATCAGCAGCCTTTCGATTCCATATATTTACGCGTCCGTTTGAGTCTACACCAAAGATTGGAGCATTGGCCGTATCGATGAGTCGACTATACTCGTGCTCCTGCGCAATGCGATCTGTAATATCCTGGCCAATTCCAACCATACCAATCACTTCTCCGTGTTCATTAAACCGCGAAGTAGCGTTCAATAGAATTTCCACACGCCGTCCTGCCTTTGTCATCAATGGGAACTCGAAGTTAGCAGTTTCAACACCTTCAAGGGCCTTCGATAGAACGAGGCCAACCGCCTCACGGTAGTCTTCCGTGATGAACTTCTCCACCAAATTCTCACCCATCACAGCACTAGGTGTGTACTGCGTGATTTCTGCGGCTTTCTTGTTCCAGATGTTCACAAGGCCATTACCGTCAACACCAAAAATTGGGGCGTTGGCTGAGTCGATAAGCCTAGCGTACTCCTGCTCTTGAGCAATTCGGTCAGTAATATCCTGACCAATACCGACAACGCCAACAATGCGTCCGTGTTGGTCAAAGCGGGCGGTTGCATTTAGTAATATGTTTAATTTTCGACCAGTCTTTGTGATCACTGGCACTTCAAAACTCGCGGTTTCATTTCCCTGTAATGCATTTGACATGATATCATACACAATTGCACGATATTCAGGGGCAATGAATGTTTCTACGTATTTTTCCCCTAGAACGTCCTCGACTGCATAATTCGTAATCTGCGCCGCCTTGTTGTTCAGGATATTTACGCACATGTTGGCGTCAATACCAAAAATCGGGGCATTCGCTGCATCGATGAGTCGGCTATACTCTTGTTCCTGCGCAATACGATCAGTAATATCCTGGCCAATGCCAACCATACCCATCACTTCACCCTGTTCGTTGTAACGAGGCGTAGCATTAAGCAGAATTTCTACTCGTCGGCCCGCCTTCGTAATTAGCGGGAACTCGAAGTTGGCGGTCTCTACACCTTCAAATGCTTTCTCCAGAACACATCGAACGGCTACTCGATACTCTTTAGAGATAAACTTCGCCACGAGGTCCTCGCCTAGTACGTCTTCAGTTGTGTACTGCATAATATCAGCAGCCTTTCGGTTCCAAATGTTCACTAGACCATTTGAGTCCACGCCGAAAATTGGAGCATTAGCCGTATCGATAAGACGCATATATTCCTTCTCCTGGGCAATGCGGTCGGTAATATCCTGTCCAATACCAACCATACCAATCACTTCTCCATGTTCGTCGTTCCTCGGCGTAGCGTTCAACAGGATCTCCACTCTACGACCAGACTTCGTCATCAACGGAAACTCGAAATTCGCCGTCTCGACGCCTTCCAACGCCTTCGACAACACAAGGCCCACCGCTTCGCGGTAATCCTCCGTAATGAATTTACTCACCAGATTTTCGCCCATCACATCATTTGGTGTGTACTGCGTGATTTCAGCCGCTTTCTTGTTCCAGATATTAACGAGGCCATGAGCATCGACGCCAAAGATTGGGGCGTTAGCAGAGTCAATCAATCTCGCATACTCCTCCTCCTGCGCAATTCGGTCAGTAATATCCTGGCCAATACCCACTACACCAACAATGTCTCCATGCTGATCAAAACGAGCTGTGGCGTTCAACAGAATGTTTAGTTTTCGGCCCGTCTTTGTAATCACTGGTACCTCAAAACTTGCCGTTTCGTCTCCTTGCAATGCTTTCGACATAATGTCATAGACGATAGCTTGATACTCGGGAGCGATGAACGTTTCAACATATTTCTTCCCCATTACTTCTTCTACGGCATAGTTAGTAATTTGCGCGGCCTTCTTGTTCAGAATATTTACGCACATGTTTGCATCAATACCAAAAATCGGAGCATTGGCCGTGTCGATCAAGCGGCTATACTCTTGCTCTTGGGCAATGCGGTCAGTAATGTCTTGCCCAATACCCACCATGCCCATCACCTCGCCCTGTTCATTGTAGCGTGGAGTGGCGTTCAGTAAAATTTCCACTCGTCGGCCTGCTTTCGTAATCAACGGGAACTCAAAGTTAGCCGTCTCCACTCCTTCGAACGCTTTCTCTAAGACGCTGCGAACAGGCACCTGGTACTCTTTGGAAATGAACTCTGCAACGAGGTCCTTGCCGAGTACATCTTCAGTAGTGTACTGCATAATATCAGCAGCTTTTCGATTCCAGATATTTACTAGACCATTAGAATTGACGCCAAAAATGGGAGCATTAGCTGTGTCGATAAGGCGCATATATTCTTTCTCTTGAGCAATCCGGTCCGTAATATCTTGGCCAATTCCGACCATACCCATCACCTCGCCTTGCTCATTGTAGCGTGGGGTAGCATTTAGCAAGATTTCCACTCGTCGGCCAGATTTGGTAATCAGCGGGAACTCAAAGTTAGCCGTCTCTTCACCTTGAAATGCTTTCTCTAGTACACAGCGAACAGGAACCTTGTATTCTTCTGAAATGAACTCAGCGACAAGATCTTTGCCCAGCACGTCCTCGTTCGTATATTGCATGATATTCGCTGCTTTTCGGTTCCATATATTTACATGACCGTCAGAGTCCACCCCAAAAATCGGTGCGTTGGCAGTATCAATCAGTCTCATGTATTCTTGCTCCTGAGCAATGCGGTCCGTAATATCTTGTCCGATACCAACCATGCCAATGACAGTTCCGTGTTCATTGTACCGTGGCGTAGCATTCAGAAGAATCTCGACTCTTCGACCCGCTTTCGTGATCAACGGAAATTCGAAATTCGCAGTTTCGACACCGTTCAGAGCTTCAGATAGCACATAGCTTACAGCCTCTTGATAGTCTTTCGTAATAAACTTTTCTACAAGGTGTTCACCCATGACGGCATCGGCTGGATACTGCATAATCTCAGCAGCCTTTTTGTTCCAAATGTTCACACATCCTTCCGAGTCAACTCCAAAGATCGGAGCATTGGCAGTATCAATCAAACGAATAAGTTCCTGCTCCTGCGCAATCCGCTCAGTAATATCTTGACCAATGCCGACAACGCCAAAGATTTGTCCAAGCTCATCATATCTTGGGGTTGCATTAAGCAAAATCTCCACTCGCCTCCCCGTCTTGGTAATAAGAGGGAAATCAAAGTTGCTTGTCTGCTCCCCGTTAAGGGCCCTATGGAGCTCCGTCTCAACTGTAGCTCGATATTCTTCTGCAACAAAGCGGTTGACTAGGTCTTTTCCCATGACTTCCTCGGCAGAATACTGAGTTATTTCTGCTGCTTTAAGATTCCAAATATTCACTAGGCCGTCCCGATCAACACCAAAAATTGGAGCGTTTGCCGCATGAATCAAACGATTTGTTTCCTTCTCCTGGGCCATTCGAATGGTGATGTCTTGTCCAATACCGACGACACCAATTACGACACCTTTTTCATTGTAGCGTGGTGTGGCGTTCAGCAAAACCTCCACGCGACGGCCATCCTTCGTGATCAACGGAAACTCGAAATTTGCTGTTTCTTGTCCTTCCAGTGCTTGAGATAACACTGTCCACACTGCCTTCCTAAAATCCTCTGGAATAAAGTTTTCTACCAAGTTCGCCCCAAGTACCTCTTCACTGAAGTACTGTGTTGTGTCAGCAGCTTTACGGTTCCAGATATTTACGCAACCATTCGCATCCACGCCAAAAATGGGAGCATTCGCAGTGTCAATGAGACGTGTGTACTCTTGTTCTTGAGCGCGTCTGTCTGTGATGTCCTGGCCAATTCCAACAGCTCCGCAAATATTGCCAAAGTGGTCGTACTTCGGTGTTGCATTAAGCAAAATTTCAAGTCGGCGCCCGCTTTTCGTGATCAGTGGGAAATCAAAGTTTGCTGTACCAGCGCCCTCTAGTGCTTTTAAAAACACCTCCGCAACGGCATCCCGGTAGTCTTCAGAGATAAACTTGAACAAATCCTGGCCGATGGTGTCTTCATTGGTGTACTCTGTAATGGCTGCTGCCTTCTTGTTCCAAATGATCACCTTATAGTTCGAATCCACACCGAATATTGGAGCGTTTGCAGTGTCAATCAATCGACTGTACTCCTTTTCCTGAATGATACGATCCGTGATGTCCTGTCCGATCCCCACGACGCCCACCAGTTTACCTGTGTGATCATATCGAGGTGTCGCATTCAGCAAAATCTCCACTTTTCGGCCAGTCTTGGTGACCAACGGGAACTCAAAGTTCGCCGTCTCCGTTCCCTGAAATGCACTCTGAAACACAGCAGCAACGGCAGGCCGAAATTCTGCCGAAATGAGCGTATCAACTAGATCCACACCCATCACTTCATTAGGTTCGTATTCACTAATTTGTGCCGCCTTGGCATTGAAAATCACAACTCGTCCTTCCGTATCGACGCCGAAAATTGGCGCATTAGCCGTCTCAATAAGCTTTCTGTACTCCATCTCTTTTGTGTTCCTCTCCGTCACATCTTGTCCGATAGCAACCACCCCCATGACTGATCCTACAGTGTCAAACCTCGGCGTCAAGCACAGTACAATCTCCACTCTCGATCCTCTTGCCGTCACGAGAGGCAGTTCAAAATCTGCTCCGGGAATACCGGTCAATGCCTGATTGATCTTCTCCGACACAATCTTGCGGAAACTCTCGTCTACTACAGGCAGCAGCGGTTCGCCCACCATATCAACACTGGTGTACCCCGTCATAGACGCCGTCTTGGAATTCCAGACTGTAATATTTCCTTCTTTATCCAGCTCAATGATTGGTGCATTCGCCTGCATCATCACTGTCGCGTACTGTTTCTCCTGGCTCGCCCACTCTGTCACATCTTGACCGACACCATAGACACCGACACATGAACCGTCCGCAGCTAATAACGGCGTCATATTAATCAGTACTTGAGCATTTCGTCCCTTTGTATTCCGCAATGGAATCCGTAGCTCCAGTTCCGATCTTTTAGCTTCAATACAAGCCTCAATGATCGTTATGACGTCCTCTTTGTGCTGTATACCGTAAACAAAGTCAACAAAAGGTTGTCCAATCACACGGTTCGCTTTGAACCCCGTCATGTCTTCCATTCGCGGGTTCCAGAGTGCTACGCAGCCGTCAATATGGACGCCCAGCGCGGGCGCGTTTGCGTCGTTGAGCATGCGGAAAAGTTCCTGAGCACGTGGCCAGGCATTAGACGTTTCATCTGCGTCTGATTTAGCACTTGGTAGCGCCGGTGGCGGCGTGGGGGGCGCGTCAGAGGCAGCACGGGACGTGAGACGGCCTCGTTTCCCTTTGGATGGCGCCATGGATGCGGGATATGCGGAATGAAATGACGAACACACTCTTGTAACTGCAGTATATGAAAATTTGTATGGGTGACAAAGCCTGACGACATGGGATAAAGCCTGACGCCATGGGGGAGAAAAGAGACATGAAAAAAACAGGGACGATACCGGTTTTATCGCACGGTTTTTTTCTAATTAAGAATGTTGAAGTGCCACGAAGCAATGTACTACATTGATTGCAACTATTTGATAATAAATGCTTATCGCTAAATGGAAGATTGTGGCGGACAAGTTCGCTCTTTCTGTTTGTTGTTATTGGTGGTGCTTCTGCTTGTAGCGTCCTTTGCAGCTGTTGGTTCCGCAGCACGACCAGGGATAGAAATATTCGTACCATTTACAGCCCGGGATCGACACGTTGGCCTCGTACAGTGGATTGGCAAGGGCGCCGTGCGTCAAAGAGGAAGGCGTCGCTTCAAGCTTTCTTCCACTATTCGTGACTCGAAGGTGTTGCGTTGATGGTGCAATATCTTGAGCTTTCGTAGGATCGAGTCCGAGCACAACGAGGACGAGTGAGGCAGCGACTTGCTTGAACATGACGATCGATGAGTTGGTGGAGAACTTGAGTTGTTGGTAGTGAATTTGGGAATGCGTTGCAAGAGCTAAGAGGAACACTTTGGCCTTCCACGCTTGAAGTTAGTTTGTTCATCTAACAAAGTGCTGGCGAATACGAGGGACTCGCTGATGACCTCACAAATGTTGAAGAGCAACCTTGACTTACTGCTTCGAAACCCGATGATGCCAGCATGAAAACGGTAGAAAGCTAAAGTCATGACTTGAAATTACTGCAGCATTACCAATACCAACATATGTTCAATTACGATCCCTCGTCATGTGCTTCCATCATCACAATGTTGGCGTCATCCACTTCAATGTAGCCATGTCGAAGTAGGTGTCAAGGTGACCCAGTTTCGTCCAATCATATCGATTGCACAAAGATGAGCGAATTCCGACAAGCGACCGAGCACGTGGAAACGCTTGAGGCGTGTTTAACGCAGCTGCAGCACTCAGTTGCCAGCGAATATGACCACGATACACTCGAGGAAAACCTTAGCTTTCTTTTGGTGCGCTCACGGTCTTTTCATACTCAACGTTCACTTCAAACGCTTCGTTCAAACCCTTCTGACCACCTTTTACTCATTCTTCCCTTATCTTTCTTTGCCCCTACAGGCTGGACTTCATGATGACGTAAACGTCATGATGGACAAGTTTCGATCTCGTTGCTCTATGGTCGATCCTGTGACGAAACAACCTCGGTTCGGGCCTAAAATGCTGGCTAAAGTGCAAGATCTGCTGCGTCGCTACGATGACGTGGCGCTCAGGATGGAGGAGGACGCCCCGTTGCGCTTACAAGTCGAAGCGAAGATTTACCAATTGGCAGAGAAAGAAGCTGCAAAGAAGGAGGAGAAAATTGCTCAAGAGAGGGAGGCACTGAAAGTCCAACGAGCTGCAGAATTAGCACGGGAACAGGAACAGCAGAGACTGCAGCAAGAAGCTCGCGACCAGGAAACGAAGCGACAAAGAGACGAACAACTTTTTATTGAAGCGTTGGCTGCTGCCGCGCAGAAAAAGCGTGAGCGACACGAGAAGGAACGTGCGGAAAAAGAACAGCAGCGAAAGCTAGTAGAGCAGGAACGTGAACGCTTGAACGCATCAATTCCGCACGGGAAAGAGGAACTTGAAAAATCGATTGCAATGCTACAAAAAAGCACAGGCTCCGAGGTACGTCAATTGATTTGCATAGATACGAAGGTGAACGATTGTTGATTCAATGCGATTAGGTACTGTTTCGCCAGTCACTCGTAAAACTCCTAGGTGTAGTGAGCAATATCTGCTCGGTACCGGAGAATGCGGCATTTCGCCATATTCCCAAGGACAACACCAACTTTCACGCTGATCTGGGGCAATATGCTGGTGGCCATCAGTGTCTGCTTGCGCTAGGATTCAAAGAGATTGAACAAGGAGATGAAGAGCAGCCGAGAGCTGTGTTTGTGCTGGAGGTAAGCTAGCGTAGTCTTCGGATACCTTACAAGTGGCGCTTTCTTTATTTACTGTTATTGCTGTGTTAATGTGGGCGTAGGAACCAGATTTGTCGGAAGATTTCGATGCCTGGAGTACCTGGTTTAATGAACTAAAGGAAATGCAAAGCCAGGTAGAGTCCAAGCTGTGATGAACACATTGCACATGCCTATTGGGAGTGGATGACACATTTTATCCACTTTCAGCAACAAACATGTTCTTGTTATTGATATGCTATGAAGGTAACACACTTCGATGCAATTAATATGGTAAGCGATTCTTTTCCGCACTAACATGGCTATGACCGGGTGCTGGCGCGTTCACCAGCATCGGAGATTTTTTTCTTCGCGCGAGGCTGTCATGGGCTTTCTAATCTCAATGTCTTGTCAACAGTGCGTGAACGTATATGTCTATTCGAGAATCGGTTTACGCGGCGCTTTCGTACGAGCTGCAATTTAAGAAAGGAATTTAGCCTCCGCTTTGAAATGCAGTTCATACCAAAGCACATTTGTCTTCACACGTAGCAACTCGTCGTCTAGCTCGACGTAATAGATCCACGGACTGTATTGAGCCTCGACGAAGCTCTCGGGTGCTTGTTGCATTACTTCAGCTTGATTTATTCGCAGACTAAGGGCGGAAATCTAATACGTTCACATATGCTCCGTCGGTGCTCTTAGCAGACAAATGTCGTATATGTTGTCGCGCAGTTCAAGGCACATTGCTGCAATGCCTGATCTCTTCAACCGAAACCTTAGCGACGTGAGCATCATTGTTTTACGGATGCTCGAGTCCCTATCACTTTATTCCTGTGACGATGCATTCTTATGGCTTTTGAACACCTGATATGCAAAACTACTTCCTGTAAAACTACTTCATGTGAGTGCAAACTGCGTTAAACTCTTCGTCTTGTGGTCGGACGGCTTTCGTGCAGTGATGAGGTGCCCAAGTTTTACCTAATGCACTACTACGAACGAAGTACCGGCAGAAATCCCCTTCCGCTGGTACTTCGTTTGGAGTGATGCGTCGATTCGATGAAGAATTTTTTGGCATATGATGGGTCCTTTCAACATTATGATATCGTGACGGAACTACAGGTTGGAGCCTTCGTGTGTACTAGCGACGTACACATTGGTTGTCAAAACAATCGGCTAGCTACAAACTGTAATACACTCGCACCGAGTCAGCCAGGAAATCGTGGCATTGATCTTGGCAGACAATGTCCGTCGAGAATCAGTTGATAAGCGATTCGGAGAGCACGGGGGTTTGCGAAGATAACAAAGTAAAGTGGAAGGTGGGCTAACCCAAGAAATACGAAAGAGGTAAGAAAGCAATGAATAGTAAGCGTGAGTTGGTCATGCTTCCGTGACATGCATGCAAACTGCTATCCAAAACTAAGCTTTGCATCGACCCTTAACAAGTAAGAAGGAACAATTGTCTTCGTTCAGGAATTTTAATGTTCGTGGGTGTACGCGGAATGTAGTCAAGTTCCCGTGTAGTGGAATCAGGGTGGATTGCCGTTGATGGTCGTAGCGTGAAAAGAGGTCATGGGCCTTATAGACGAGCTGACACTTTCCGAGTTCTCGTCACTATCCTGCTCTGGTTCATTGCGCTGAGTTGTTGAGTTTTTATCTTCCAGTTGGGCACCAACTCGGTTGTACATTCTTGGCTCTATCGACGTAGTGACCTCGGTCATTAGTACAATGTCGCTCTCCGAAGATGGCATACTATAAGCACAAGCATAGTCATCATAGGATTGAGATTCGTGACCATGCACTACATGCCTTTGCTGGCTCTGCCTCGCATCTTGTGCTGTGGGGCGATAGGTACCAAGGACTTTGGACAAGAGTTCTTGGTTTCCATCGTAATCAAAAGGAATTTTCTTGGACGAGAAATTACGGATCTTAAGACACGTCTTTCGCAATGGCTGACAAGGCTTCGACGATGGCGATGCGATGAGTGCACGAGTAGTATCGTTGCACAGATCGTTTACAGTCAAGTCTACCTGGCTTTTGTTTCCACGAGTGGCATGAATAAAGTCGCAGATATCTCCTTTCACGTCGACTGTCTCAAACATCGGTGCAGTCATCTGCCAATCATACTAGCAACGACAAATGAAAGCAAACGGTCTCGTTAGAACAAGAATAAGCAGCTTGGTCGATGTTATTCGAGCTTACCTGCTCGTTTGCCAGAGTCGACGATGCAAAGATGACATGCTTTCGAAGATTTGTCGTGATTGTGGATATACGATCCTCGGCCATTTGCTGCATCAGCAGAGGCAAACCATCAGGATAGTTTGAACAGCAACACTAATGCAGACAAAGTCTTACCTGATAGTCTGCGAGCACAGCTTGGACAACACGGTACATTTTGATTCGATGGGTCTCTAGCGTTTGCCAAGAATGCTGGCATATCCTTCTGGCCTTCTCAGCAACCTGCAAACTCTACCATTAGACAAGGTATCTTGTCCATGCTTTTCTTTTTCCTTACCTCCATTAGTTCAACGGTGTTTTTAGCCAAGTCTTCTTTGCGATGAGTCTCGGACGATAGCAACCAGCTGACGAGTTTGTTGTTGTTGATCGTTTTCAAGGCAACTGTTCCCGAGCTTTTATCAGGACGAACCACAGTAGCAATTACGCTGTGCTTCTTTGCCGGGCTGTCCGTAACTTTGATCTGTGAGAGACGCCGATGATACTGGTCCTCAATGAGTGTGCTAGAGAAGCCAGAGGCCATTGCATTTGCAAACGAAGCAGAAGCCACACGGAAGGTTTTGTCAAAAGTACGGTAGACTTTCCTGTAGGCATCTTCTTGAATCTAAAGCAAAAGACAAGTTTTGTATCACTGCATTACTCGATGAGAGCAACATGGTCGTACAAACATACCTTGACATCTTTCTTTGCGTTTTTGATCTGACGAGTTAGGCTTTGCGATCTCTTGCTGTTGTACTGGTACAAACTCTCGATCGGTTTCAAGACGTCTTCCTCAAGATTTTTGGCAAGTTGTTCGTGCTGCACGCTCGTGTTCAAGTACTGCGCTCTAAGACTTGCCATAGCGGTTTCCATCGTGCCGTGTGCCATTTCGTTGCAATTCGAGAAGTGAGCCATCTTGCTTAGCTCTTGGGCGTATGTTCTTTCCAAGTTGATTCGGCTCTGAAGCAATGTGATCAGATTGGCGTGACCTGCAAGGCTAGCTGCGCAGTTGGCACGTACGTCGTCCAAATTGAAGAGTAAGTCAGTCGCGAAGGCGACATTAGGATCACGATTAGTAACGTTATCGCTAGTACCAGCATCAGCTACTTGAGTCTGCATCATTGAGCTTGCCATTGCAGCCTTATGTAAGAACTATCTGGATTCAGAAAGACTAAACTGTACTCGGCATTCTTCTCCTCAGCTTTACCAGGATCAAAAAGAGCTATGTGACGTCTTTTCTCGGATTGTATGGAGCTCTTGGCTAGAATAGACTAGGCATAGAAAGCATGTACTGCAACTGCTACGAACTTCACACCTTAAGGACCTTGCAGTCATACATACTCACAAACTAATGAGGCGACGCAGCTGCACTCACGTGGACACCAGAGAATCCTTGATCAAGTTTACATCACAAGAATGATTCTTTGGAGCCTTTATGGACTCAAAGAGGCCTCGAAAATCAATTGAAAGTCAAATGGTTAATCACTTCATGAACGTTGACGGATGGTGTAGTCATTGGCACAGCACTTTCAGCGTCTCAAAAACTAGAAAGGAACACCACGTAAGTCTGCTGCTAGGTAAGGTTGGTCTTCGGATGGACATGTCTGTAACGGTTCAGACATTCTACTGATGGTGTCGATGACCGCAACTCATTCACATAGATAAGCTCTAGCTGTCTTGGCGACCCACGGATTGCAGATAGTGCCACAAAGCCCCAGTTTTAGGCTCAACAATTTACGGAGATTCAGCCCAACCAGGTTTCGGACTTTGATTCCATGGCTTAAGAGTCCCTTGATATGGTGTTGGCTTAGCGGATCCTGGACTATGCAAAATTTGATCGTGTTGCTGGGAATGTTGAGGCAAATACGTAAGCGAGCTCGACTCCTTAGAGCTAAAGCTGCCATCCTGATGATGAATATTACAGTTGTAACATTGCAACTTTAGATTATCTGTAGCGTGGAACAAGGTCAAAGGCATCCAGCATCAGTAAAACGCTGGCGTGAAGCGAATCGTCTTGATATTATTCGCAGACGAAGTGAGAGACAGGAAATGCACTAAGGAGGAATTGAGGAATTTCCAATTGAAGCTGCGTCGTCATTTACGAAAAAGTTGCTAGTACGATGGCTGCACTAGACGCTCATAGGATGGACTTGAGTGCTGTTTTGGTTTTCTGCAATACATATATTTGGATGAAGGAAACAAAGCAAGAGAGCTGTTCTTCGCCGCTAAGACTCGGTTCAAACTTGCTTCATGTTTGCTATCATAACGCTAATCATAGCACTTTGATGATTTTACAGTCTAGTGCTAATCGACAACGTGCGATTCTACCTTAAATCTCAGCTTGACAGTCGCGTCAGTGTCTTTTGAAAATGGACATGGTAATAAAGTGCTCGAGCATTGAGCACTGGAAATAGAGTAAACTTTGGCCTTGACGATGAAGACATAGCGAAATTGGGAAGCAAAACGTTCATCACCACCTGATGATAGTCTGTTCAAAGTCTCAACGTTCAACATCGACGAGTAGATGACACTTAGATCAATCATTGTCAAGGCACAATCAAAGGAGCAGATGCTCGTCCTAACTAGGACTCCACAAAACAAATATTTCTAAGAAGCTTGATGCACTTTGGAGGAGTACTTCTTGTCAGGCTTCTTGCGTATCTGCCAGACAAACTTCATCCAGCAAACAAGCTTAACATTGCACTGATAGTCCAACTTCAATTATCCGACAGTCGATTACTGCCTCTGGTGCTAGCACAACACCCGGCGCTAACAATTTTTCAACTTCTCCTCCATCTTCGAAACTTCCCGGCCAGAACGAAGTCGACTTGCGTTTTGTCTGCAACCATCCTAACTCTTTCCACGCTGATGCTACCAGACTGGAACAAAAATATTTGCGTTTCGCATCCTGGGGTTTGCTGAGATCGACACCTTCTGTCATAGGTGATGGCGTCGAGCTAACACTGCTACCGAAATCGGATACGATATCATCAGCTTCTTCGCAGCCGGCACTTGCACCACTTACAGAGTTATCTAACATGTCTCGATCCGATTCACCAGTGAAATGAAGTATTCCTAAGATGCTGTAGGGATTGCCCTCGACATGACGGATGAATTTCTCCAGTAACGCAATGAGCTCTGGAGTGCGTTCAGTCTTTACTTTCCGCAAAACAATTGAGTTTGACACTTCGCGAGCGTAGGCCATGAGTCTTGTTTTCAAATTATGCACCTGAATACCCTCCGAGGTTGCCTCCATTATCTGTAAGAGGAACCGTGACTCACCTGGCACCACGATACCGATGTGATCGTACTTCGATCCTGTAAACTACAACAAACGAATGTCACTCATGATTTCTTGTCGCTCGAGTAGCACTGTATAGTCATACGAACCTTGCGTTGCAATCGACTAGCTCCAAATCGACACGAAAACAAAATAACATCGCCACAAGTAACGCTATCGTGTAGTGAAGTGACGTGAATCACGCGCTTATCACTAAGGCCAAGTTCTGGGTCGCGCGAGACAGACACGACGCCCAGGAACGACATCAGCAGCACATCGGTGCTGGCAATAGGATGGAGCAACAGCTGCTTTAGGAATACTTCAAGTTGTTCTTTGCGATGGTTGATAAGTGCGCCTTCTACCGGAGTGAACACGTGCTTCGAAGGCAATCCAGGTAGCTCGATATCAGGATGCTTGCGCTTCAAGTGGCTATGTAGGTCATTAAAATCGTTATAGCGTCGCGCAAGTTGCCACGTAGTGCCGTTAAAAATGATGTCGATTACATAGCAAGTGTACGGACGCTGTGAGAGATCACTAATCTTCTTCTTGGTCCCGACAATGGCCAGATCAATAGTGGGCTGCGGCATTCTGCTGATTGGTACCAGCTCGAGATGGATTTCACGACTTGTGCAGCCAAGAATGTAGTGGCCAATCGACTGCTGTTCGTCGATGAGCCACTGTTTTTCGTTTTCAAGGTACAAGATAAACCTGTCTGCTTCATGCACAAGTAAGCGTTGCAGACGCTCACGTGTGGAATTGACAGACCGGTGTAAATCAGCTTGCATCTGTCTGATCGCATCGAGCTTGATCTGGAGAACACTCATATTGTCTTGTGAAGCCGTACTAACGGGTAAAATTGTCGACATGCTGCAAACCAAATGCATCGCACGAAAAAAAACACACACAAACACCAGGAACACGATCAAAATATCAGCAAATAAACAATGGAAACCACCGACACAAGCTGAAATACAGCATGGACCTGTCTCCCTGATCATCGGTCACAGTGATGTTTAATACCACCAGCGACACTGAGCTTTCCGTGCTTTTAGCTTGTGTTTTACTTGACTACATAGCAACAAAGACAAAATGTCCGCTTTTCTCGTCAGTTTGTGGTTTAATTCTGACCGTCACTTGGTCCATCACGGACCTGTAAAGCCGTAGAATGGTCACTTTGTGGCAGCAATTGCATCGATTGCAGCGTATTCTGTTTCAAACTGGACGACTGGTTTTCTGTCTCCTCCTTCTCCTCCTCCTCCTCATCACTGTCTTCTGATCCACTGGACGCGAATCGATGGAACGCTAACATAATAAAGATAGTGAAAAGTTTATCACTATCTTTATCCGTAATAATAAGTGCTCTAAATAAAGGGTTACTCTATAAGTCTATGTAGACGTACAAACTCTACTGTCTGAACTTTGAAAGCAGCTACTACGACGCTTTGTAACGCCCTCCACATGATTTACTTACGCATGGATAATACATAACGCCTCCTCACATATACTATCTTAGAGGTTGCCGAAGTCGGCTGCATTTTGCCCCACATTGCGAGCACCGTTCGGCCGGGTCATTATATATATGATAGCTACAGCTTTTAATGTCTTTATACTCTTCAATATGTTGCGGTAAGCGCCCAGCTGTCACCAGGTCACATCATGAACGAACGTATATGATAAATCCCTTACGCAGTGATGAGGTCTGCTAGAGCATTCCATGATAATCATAGTACAACTAAAGAACATGTATATGCATCTTTAATCGCGCTGTAGCATCAGGTCCATGTATGAGTAATAAAACGCATCAGCCATGCTATCGAAAACATCTTCCGTCAGCACGCTGTCGGATCGTGTTACTGTTGCGGTGACTGTAGTCGTAGACGATACCCGCGGTAGCCTACAGGCGTAACTATGCAGCTTGTTGGAGCACAATATGGGCTGTAGGTCGACAAATCCCACGCAATCATCTCGCGTACCTACCTATCGATCTCAGCGTTCTCGTTACCGATGGACCTCTCTGCTGTCAGGACAGTGCGGCGTTATAGTTTCCCACATGCTCGCTGCTACAGTTCGTGAGTTGCTCAGGCTTGAAAACGTTATTCTTGTACTAGGTAATATCGGAATACGCGAAATGTTTCTCGAACGACTCCAAGCCGGTTACTAAATCGTTTGACTTTCGTCCAGCGCTCTATCCCAAGATCATAAGAAAGATAGCTCTGCAGGAACCTTGCAATTTTAGCTTGTGACACACTTGTTCTTGCCGGGGTCTTCATGTGGTTATAAAGTGCACGCGCCGCGAGTGTGCTTAGCTTCTTCAACTCTACAATTCTGTGCGAATATTAATTGACATATATTATATATACTAGGGTGTTCACCCGTCGTTCCGACGGTGCGCAGTAGTATATATAGGCATCTTCGAAGGCAGCTATTTGTTTGGGTGTTTACCCGTCGTTCCGACGGTGCGTAGTTTATATATATATAGGCATTTTAATGCAGCGATTTGTTTAAAATGTTTACCCGTCGTTCCAGTCTACGCTGATAGAATATAGACCTATCAAGTTACCTAAGAAGATTCAGTTGCCTTAGGTAAAATAATAAGTATGAAATACAATGTATAGGAAGGTCTATGGTACCTGTCGTTCCAAAGGTCAATGTGTACCCGTCGTTTCGTCGGACATGGGGAGTGAAGTCTGTTTTTGATATTTGTACCTATCTTTTTTATCTTACAACATCCGGTTGACTTAGAAATATTAATAAGTATGATACATTACATTTGGGTAACTTCGCTTATTGTAACTGAATCTAGTTCAACCTAATAACAACGCTTGCTTTTGCCACTTTTTAGTGAATTATTTAAACAGTGAGCCCATGTTTTGAACGTGCCTAATCTAATATTTCAATAAAATGCTGTGTTTAATAGTGCAATATGTAATGATGTGTATGTATCCATCGGTATTATGGAATTCTGCTCTTGTTATTATCAATGCAAAATACAATATCAGCTAATGCAAAACTAGCCAATAATGTAACATTAGCCAACCCGAATGCCGGAAAAGGAGCACTACGGACGGACGGACGGACACAACTCTTTTATTATATAGAAGACTAGGGTGTGCACCCGTCGTTCCGACGGATATAATTCGCAAAGTCTGATCTGGTTGTTGTATTTTAGATACATATGCATCCTTTACGCAGAGCTTCACTGAATCAAACATTGCATTTTAAACACACCGCTTTGCTATATTTGATAACCTTAACGCAGCGCTTTGCTATATACAATATTGCGCATCAGTCGACGAAGCGTGGAGTTTGCCTCTAAAAGTACCGACACCTTCTGAGGTGCCGTCGCACGTGAGAAGGCAACGTACAATTGTCCATGCGAGAATACGTCTTTTGCAAGACATATACCTACTCGCTGCAGTGTCTGTCCCTGGGACTTCTTTAATGTCATTGCGTAAGCCAAGCGCACTGGAAACTGCTTCCGCCTGAAGGCGTATGGAAGACCTGACTGCTCGGAAATTAGCGCGACCCGTGGGATGAAGATCCAGCGTGAGCTCCCGTCAACATTTAGCTTCAATAACACGTGGGGAGCACCGGCGTACGATGAGACGGGTGCCGTTGCATAGGCCGCTTGATGCATCCAGGTTACGTAAGAGCATGATGGGTGAGCGAACTTTAAGCTGTAGGCGATGTTGCGGCCATCTAGTCGGTTAAGATACTCGATCGGAATGACATTAGCGCTCTCCTATTCATCAACCTTGTCGGCGTTAAGGAATTCGTAAGTCCCTCCAGGAATCATGTTGAGGACCGCCGTAATGATGTCCGCAGCGTTGTCGTTGCGGGCGGCAAGGATAGCACGACGGCTGAAGTACTCTCTAAAGTAAATGTAGGTACTTAACAACTTGATGGTAAAATGCATATAGGTCCTTCGTTCACACAAAGCTACCTCTGAGCCTATCCTTTTGTAGAAGCTTCGTCAATGACGTCAATCGATGACGCCATTCCGTGACGTCTTACGATGACGTCACAAACACGGATACCTTACCGGCATGTGGGTACATCTCGAGGCGTCGTCTTGACAAAACTCCCACTCGACTCGATGGTGTACCGCGCTTCAATTCCCAACTTGTTTCGCAATATCGCAAACTGCACCGCGGCAATGGGCTTCGTCATGATGTCAGCTAACATGTCTTGTGTCGGGCATAACTCCAGCACCACTTGAGCATCTTCGACCTTCTCACGCACGAAGTGGTAGCGGATGTTGAAGTGTGTGCTGCGCTTGTGGAACTTCGAGTTCTTGGCGAGCGCAATGGCACCTTGGTTGTCTTCGTAGGTAGAGATTGAGGGTCAATAACCATTGCTTCAGGGCGTATACGGTCCTCGTCAGCTTCTCCAGCCATTCCTCTCCTACAGCAAGCAGCCAATCTGCAAACGTCTTGTTTCCGAGGTCTGCGGTTGGCTTGGAATCGACGGCGCGCATGTTTTTTCGCAAATGCAAGACGTCCACATGCGTCCATAGATGAAACTACTTAATTGAAGCTGCGACAACGTCTGGACGTAGGCCCTTTGGGACGACAGGTAGAACCTGACGGAAGTCGCCACATAACGAAAGTGATCCCTCCAAAAGGCGGAATCGTCCAATCGCTTATATCACGTAGCGTGCGGTCCACAGCCTCGAAAGCAAATTTACTCATCATTAGGACCTTATCCCACAGTATTAGCGTCGTACGGCGGATCACATCTCCACAAGGTCGCTCTGTTTGCTGATCGCACATACCGCGTTTGGTTTCAATTCGATAGGAATTTTTAATCTTGAGTGTACCGTACGTCCCTCGCTCAACAGCAGCGCTGCGATCCCGGGATGCGACTGCAAGCGCGATTTTCTTTTGACTACGCACCGATTTCAGCATGAGATTTTACAGGTACGTCTTTCCAGTCCCGCCTGGACCGTCGACAAAGAATATGCGGCCGTCCCCTTGGTTGCAGGACAGCATAACCTCACGGTAAGCGTTGAGCGATCGGCGTTAAGAGTTTGAATGTCACGGTCAGTCTCTTGTCTTAAAGGCATTGGCATCGAACGCGAGCTGCTCCATGATAAAGCGATTGACCTCGAGTTAGTCTATTCCGAAAAGCTGGTGCCGGAAGGTTGAAGTCGGCGAGCGTGCTGTCGATCCCCAGTAGGAGCTGCGCAAAGAGGATGCCCCCCCCGTTAGCTATCTGTATCGCTGACGGCTCGACATTTCCACGCTGAGCGAAGTTAGTGGGCACAGTCTTCCGACAAATGGCGGCTAAACTCATCCCATAGCCGTCTCAGTTCAGCAGGCGTTCGATGCCAATGCCTTAAGACAAGAGACTGACCGTGACATTCAAATACTTAACGCCGATCAGCTCAACGCTTTACCGTGAGGTCATGCTGTCCTGCAACCAAGGGGACGGCCGCATATTCTTTGTCGACGGTCCAGGCGGGACAGGAAAGACGTACCTGGAAAATCTCATGCTGAAATCGGTGCGTAGTCAAAAGAAAATCGCGCTTGCAGTCGCATCCTCCGGCATCGCAGCGCTGCTGTTGAGCGAGGGACGTACGGCGCACTCAAGATTCAAGATTTCTATCGAATTGAAGCCAAACGCGGTATGTGCGATCAGCAAACAGAGCGACCTTGCAGAGATGATCCGCCGTACGACGCTAATACTGTGGGATGAGGCCCCAATGATAAGTAAATTTGCTTTCAAGGCTGTGGACCGCACGCTACGTGATATAAGGGATCGGCCGAACTCGCCGTTTGGAGGGATCACTTTCGTTATGTGTGGCGACTTCCGTCAGGTCCTACCTGTCGTCCCAAAGGGCCTACGTCCAGACGTTGTCGCAGCTTCAATTAAGGAGTCTTACCTATGGACGCATGTGAACGTCTGGCATTTGCGAAAAAACATGCGCGCCGTCGATTCCAAGCCAACCACAGACCTCGGAAACAAGACGTTTGCAGATTGGCTGCTTGCTGTTGGAGAGGACCGGCTTAAGAAGCTTGACGAGGACCGTATACGCTGCCCTGAAGCAATGGTTATTGACCCTCAATCTCTCGACGGGCTGATTAATTACATTTATCCTGGCGTTGCGGATGCTGTAATGAATCCACGAGAGTACTTCAGCCGTCGTGCTATCCTTGCCGCCCGCAACGACAACGTTGCGGACATCAACACGGCGGTACTCAACATAATTCCTGGAGGGACTTACGAATTCCTCAGCGCCGACAAGGTCGATGACGAGGAGGGCGCCAATGTCATTCCGACCGAGTATCTAAACCGACTAGACATAAA